TAGGCTGGGATGATCAGAAATGTGTAGGTTTCCTGTAAACACTAGCATTTAACTCCTATCTTCTATACCTTTTACGCTGCAATCTAACATTGGAAGTTCCGCTTCCTGACTTTCCAATTCATAAGTGAATTGAATTGCCACCACCTTCAATTTGATGTGTTCGAAAAATCTGTTTATGTGGTGTGTTCAAAGTACAGTGTATGTGTCACCTGCATACCTCCACCATACCTTTGGCGTGGGACCTAGAAATTTTAATCGCTATATTTTCCCACCTATCCATGAATATATCTGCCACAATCGGTGATATTGGAGACGTCATAGAAGCTCTTTCAGTTTGTTTGTATATTTTCCCTTGGAATTTAAATGCTGTGGAAGTCAAGCATAGCTGCACTCCAAGCATTATGTCCTCAAGTGGCACTTTTGTTTCAATTTTAAGTTCTTGGTCAGAAACGAGTTGGTTTCTGTCAGCTTCTACATCCACATTTATAGGCATGCGTGTGTATACAAACTGACAATGTCAAGACTAAGCATTTCTCCTCACTATCCAATTTTAAATTATCTAATCTATGCTTTAGTTTAGAAAAATTTGTTGGTCTAGATTCTGAATGACCTTTAGGGGGACTTAATACTGTAGCTAAATATTTAGACAGTTCATAAGTAGGTGAATCTCTAAAATCAACAACACCATACATCCTACTGGGGTTATTAGTTTTCGGCGTTTAATTAAACCATTCAGACTCATCAAGAAACGGCTTCATCCGACGTATAAGGTCCGCTGTGGATTTCTTAACTTTATTCACTACGGTGTCTAGTGATTTATTAATAACTTCCTCATATGATCCAGTTTGTTTGTGAGTATTCACCTTTTCCAAATAGTCTGATTTGTCTAATTCAACTGTTGCATTTCCTTTATCTGATTTTGTGATTCATGTGTCCTTGTTATGCTTAAGGTGTTTTAGGGCTTCCATCTCTGATTTCGTCAGGTTGGGCAATTCTCATTCTTGTTGTTTTAATGTCAGTGAAAATTGTGCCCGTACTTCATCGGCCGTTGTTTTGTCTATCCCACATAGTACCATTTCTATTTAGGGTATGTCATCCTCAGGTTTCAGATTGTCTACAACTACATTGAAAATTAGTCGCATTTCTAGCACAATTATTTCTGTGGAAATTAACACATGTGTTGAGAGATTGATAACCCACTTTCTTTTATCGATCGCAGTTGATTTAAGATTGCTGATCTTATAATTCTCAGATGGAGACTACTCCATCGACAGGTAATTGGACATTTTCATTTTAGGATTTCTGTCTGTCTGTCTATTTTCGACATAGAACTTTGCACAAATGTGCGGAAGTTCAAGTCGCCACATTCCGTGTAGCACGCGAAGCAAGAGAAGAAAGTACAAGAAAAGCATAATAGAAACAGTGAGCAGAGGTGTGAGACAAAGGAGTAATAAAGAAATACAAAACAGTTTCATTGATGGAGATCATAAGTCACAGGGAGTGGATGCATCTGCGCTAGCCACTGAGAACGATTTCGAGCCATGTCACCAATTGTTTCCAACCATAGATTTTTACCGTCCCGAGGACCCCAGCCTGGAAGTCTACACCTTCCTACGTGGCTTAGATCAACTGTTGTGGATTTCATTGACTGGTGCCAAGTTTTCGTTTTACCGCCGCTAGCTTTTTTCCAGCCTGACCCTATATCCGCTAACATAGCTCGTCGAGGGAGGCGATGGCTTGGCATACGTAACACATGTCCTAACCATCTCAATCTTTGTAACTTCACGACTTCGTCGATTGATTTCCCCTGTTTACCTAGAACTCGACGCCTAACCTCAATGTTGCTCACCTTATTATGCCACTTTACACGGGAAATAGAGCGCAGGCACCTATGATCAAACACAGCTAGTCTTTTCATGTCTTCCACTCTGAGTGGCCAGGTCTCACATCCATAAAGGAGGACGGAGCGGACTGATGAGCAGTACATTCGCCCTTTGGTCGATAGTCGAACATCTCGTCTACGCCAGAGTCGGCGTAAACTGGCAAGTGCGAAACGAGCCCCCTGTATTCGTGCTGAGATTTTGTCAGAGATCAACCCGTTGGCACTGGCTGATGGTACTTCACAAATAAGTGAAGCGGTCAACGTGCTCTACCACTTCACTTCCTATTTTTAAACTAGGCGTCGATGTAGTCCAGTCCTGTAACATCATCTTGCTTTTGGCGGGAGCGAATCGCATGCCAAACATTCGTAGATTACAGCTCAAGGTGTTCAGAAGACTCTGCATTTCGTCAGCGTCTTCGCCTAGAAGGACTATATCGTCTGCATATTCCAAGTCAACGAGATTATTCCCCGGTAGCAAGTCAATCCCTGAGTCGCTGAAGTCACCTAGGGTTAAGTCCATTAACATATCTATGATGAAGTTGAATAGAAAAGGAGATAATGGGCATCCTTGACGGACACCACTGGTCGTCATCAGTTCAGATGACAGCTCGCCGTAAGCCGTCACCTGGCTGTATGAGTACGAGTAGAGTGCCTTAATCAGTGCAATATATTTTCTCGGAATTCCCTTTACAGCCAAGCATCTCCAGATTTATATATATATAGTTATATATATATATATATATATATATATATATATATATATATATATATATATATATATATATATATATATACATCGACATACAAACCTATATTTGGATTTCTGACCATCTCAGCCTAGATCAGTGGAAACAGGATTCAAGGAATGCTTGATTGATAGGACACAGAAACTAAGCAATACCAAAGAAAATCTAAGACAGGAAGCGAGGCATATCAGAGAAGCTTTGAAACTTGATAATTACCCTGACAAATTAATCAGGAAATATGCAGAAAAATGTAAAAATAAAATAAATAGTGGTAGTAGCAGTAGTGATGGTGATAACAACAATAATATTAGGAAGAAGATGAAGCAGAATTGCGTTAATGACGACATGCACAGGATAATGACAACACCAACAATCGGGAATATAAATCATCAGTAGTACTTCCATACACAGAAGGAACCTTGGAAGTCTTACGGAGAATTCCCAACAATGCAGGAATAAGAGTGGCTTTCAAATCATTCAAACCCACAAGCTCAATCAGAAACAAGCTTTGTCGGTTAAAGGATCAATCCTGTGGAGACAATTAAACATAACAATTCACTTCATCTGATAGCCTGCTGGAATGACTGTCAGGTCAAACACATAGATCGAAGTAATAGGACGGTATCAGTCAGTCAGTCAGTCAGTCAGACTAGCGGAGAACACAAAACTACTAAAATCTAGATTAGTTGACCCCAGTAAGATAAAAAAAAAGATCTGGAGAATAATTCGGCACCTATAGCACTCACTACATGGAATTACACACAACCACACAACAGAATGGTGACAGTTTTGAAATCGAATGTAACAGCTGGGTGGAGGGAGAGATTGATAACCGAAGCTTTATTTATCGAATCAAATGCAAATCAACGCGTGTAATAGGAATGATTCAACACCTGTCCTCCCAGATATCTGTAGAGTCCTACTACTACCACCCGTATGAGAAATGGGAGAGAATAAACAAAACTGAAGTCCCGAAGTCTTGTGACTGTAATTGATGAAATGGTTATCAACAATACATTGTGTTCGAAATGTCGTCCAGTAAATACTAATACGGTTTCACTGTATGATATATATCTAATAAACAAATAATATGGAATTACCTACTACCACAGTGCCAGAGTTTCACACTTACCTTTGACTGTTATTATTTCCTCAGTCCGCTATCAAGCCTTGCTTGAAATATCTCGGTTACATCTACTCCGGGTTCGTTTTTCATTAATGTTCACTGGTATTAAGGGGGCGATAGCAGCTGAACATGTGTTCTTCTTGATCGAATAACGAAATATCACTCAGCATAAGTGAGCTTTATACGTTCACGACTTGTATTGGTAGCCTAGGTGCTTCAAGCACACTATGAAATGTATATCTTATCTATCACAAGTAGTCTCTTATTCTTATGTTACGAGTAACAGTACTATTTTTGGGTATAGCATTAGGTATTAGGAAGACAACTACATCACTATTCTTGTATTATTATTTCGTATCAGTAGGCCCTGGACTTCGCCGATCACATATGTCTGATTTCCCACAAACTGGAAGATATGCAAGTGAAAAGCAACAAGCTGGCAGAAGAAGCATCAAAGATAGGACTATAAGTGAACATAGATAAAACAGAGGTGATGAAGATTCCTGGCCAACACCAACAGCAACAACGAAAACAGACAACAATCAGCCAGCATAAATGGGACGAACCTGAAAGAAACAACCTCCTTTTTCTACCTGGGAAGTATCGTTTCAACTACAGGCAGGCGGAACTGACGAGGATATCAAAGCCAGAATCGGAAAAGCAAGACAAGCTTTCATTACTCTTAAGTCTGTGTGGAAGTCAACAGCACTCAGCATCAAAAATAAGATCCGGATTTTCAACTCCAATGTGAAGTCAGTCAGTGCTACTTAGTGTTTGGATGAGAGACTTGGCCAGTGCGTCATAAAGAGCATCTCAAACAAAATTCAGACCTTCACCAACAGTTGTCTTCGCTCAATACTCAAGATCAGATTGCTGGCCAGAAAAGATCAGCAACGGGGATCTCTGGCAATTAGCGAACCAACATAGCAGGAACCGATTGTGAAACAAATAGGCAGGAAGAAATAGAGATGGATTGGCCATACTCTGAGGAAACCATCAAGTAACATCACTAGACAGACCGTCGCTCGAGTGGAACCCGAAAGGGAAGTGGCGAGTTGGTCGTCAGTGCGAGGATGACTTGGAGGAGGTCATGTGAAGAGGAGGTGAAAGCATGTAGACAGACTTGGAATGGAGTGAAAAAGTCGGCAGAAAATCGAAGGCAATGTAGGTGCACAGCTGAAGCCCTATATTCCTCTAGGAATTAAAGGATATAATAATAATAATACTTGTTCATATCAGCACTTACACTCATGTATTATCTGAGCACGTCACTCGACTTCAATGATTATTTTGTTGTCGTAAAATACCGTCACTTATTGCATGGGCTTTTGTTATGCGTGTTACGCCTGCTTACAGTCAACCCGTGGAAGCAATTACTGAAATGCAATATTGAGATATCATATCATTTATCCTAAATTCAACTGCATGGAATTATGACATATTTTATGCATATCATGTCTTCTAAATTGACATCTTTATGCATCTCGACAAACAATAAAGATTATTCATGTGTGAATGGCATGAAGACTTTTTGGGAAATATTTATTTCAACAAATACATTCATAGTATCACAAATACTTCATCCTTTACACACACACACATTATCCCCGTCTTAATTCCATTAGAACGTCTAAATATACTGAGTGACTGAGGAATTGAAGACCATAATCTGAAAAATTAAAGTGACAAAACTTCAGTTAATCAATCATGCTGTAACAGAAACAACTTCAAAACACAAGATATATATATATGTATGTACATTCACAGTATAAGAACCAAACTAACTTTTCACTGAAATCAGAGATACGAAATGACGAATCGGAAACTTGACCAGCGCCCGTCACGAAAAGCATTTTCAACAGGCAGCTGAAAGCTTTTATCAACAACTGCCCTCCTTGCTTGCTGCATATTAAAGATTGAATGATAAGGCAGCCAGCCAGCCAGCCAGCCAGGCAGAGAGAATTGTCAACAATGAACTATGAGGACGAACTAACCAAAAACCTACTGCTCAACAAATGTATAGCAGAAAATAGAGATTGACTGGACACAAGCTGGGAAAGACATCGAATGACATCACGCACAGTGTAGGCCATCAGTCAAGTGGAACCTGAATGGAAAATGACGAATGGGGTGTAGTTGGTCCTAGGATGGCACAGAGATCAGACAATATGGACAACAGTGAGATCAACTAAAGAGGACCGCAGGGAGAATAGAACAAGATGGAGAGGTACTGTTGAAGTCCTAGGTGCCACTCGGAACCCAACCGGGAATAATAATAATAATAATACATGCAAATCATTACCTCAGATTGAGGAGGCATAACGATTCATCACCATTCAACTCTTTACTCATTTCTGATGCTATCAGGAGAAAGCTAAAAGCGTTCGCTTTCCAAGCGTATCACCAAACACTTACCAACATGGTTTTACAAAGGAGAAAAACGATGTCCCCGCAGCTTCATCTTAGAAGCTCCATCTGATAGAATCCGGACACAAGGCTGCACCCCAAACAAAATTCAAAATAGTCTACAGAGTAAGAAGTAGTCTTCCTAAAGGTGTACGAATCAGACTTCTTCAAACTGCAGAAGCAATGGCGATTCACTTGCTAAGTCCTAAACTCTGCATACAGAAGAATTTCGTTCCATCACTACACTTACAATGGACTTAATCTATCTTATTACCTGAAAAGTAAATTCCATCTAATCTTTTTTTTCTGTTTCTTCATTAGTATTATTTTGTCTTCTTAATTGTAATACTTTGCATTTTCAACTCTCTTGTTCTCTACCCCCACCCAATTTAATTTCTACACCTCACTGCCACTGTTATTGACCTGACCAACGCTCAATTTCTAGTCATTTATGTTACGTCATCCAACTTAATTGTTCAATCTCAGTTCTAATTTAAATGGCATTATTATCTACCCCACCTCTACTTAGTCTCTACCTGTAATTACCTCTGTTGCTACTCTGGCCTAAGTTGAAACATTTTAGTCAATTATATTACGTCATCTAACTTACTAACTCTATCTTACTTTAGTTGCTGTCCAATTAACCTTGTTTCTATATTAGATCATTCTTTTATTACCTGATCAAATATCTAAACTTGACAAACCTCATGTACACAGACACACACACACACACAAATAATTATATATAAATGCGATTGTACAGCTATGTGAATGAATTTGCCGAAAAGAGTCTCTTCGCTGAACATCTTCTCTTTTTCATATGACTAAACGGGGATTTTTAAGAGTAAGAATTGACGGTGCTGAATTGCTGACTAAACAGGCAATCAGCCTTCCTTCAGCATATCAAAATTTTACGTTACCCCTATGTAGTAGTGAGACTGACCTGTGTAGATATCAGTGGTACTGTAATATTTTTTCCAGGATCCCACTGTATTAAGAATAAGAATGACGATCAGTACAAACGATCACACCTCACACTATTATTATCGTCAAATTATCAAAATGTTTGATATCAGACAACATGGAAGCATATTTTTATGACCGCTTTATGTAAAAATTATTTTCTAGTGCCCTGATAAAAATTATTTACCAACAATGCTCATGGACTTATGTTCTTCTGAATCTATAATCCATCCTCTGGTAATGCTGTTCAGGCTAACAACTTTTTAGAAAGCTTACAACGAATATACTTCTTTTTCTTTTGAATAATATCTGTCAGTCATAGCTTATTCCATGATGATAGCTGCATAAAGACTGGGTATTTCATTTCCTTGTTCCAAGTTAGGAATAAAAGCTAACAGACACTTCAAATATTCATTCGTTTACTAACTAAGGTTATAAACAGCTTACAATCACACGTTATGGAGTTCATGAGTAAAACATTCTTGTATCTGTAGTCATATAAAGTATAACTATTTGAAAATAAGTGTAGACTTTATCATGAAAAATCCTAAGAGAGATAACCAGCCGAACTGATTATACTCTTGATCATACGACTAACCTTTATAGTGGTTCAAGTTCTGATAGAGGTGTTCTTTCAAAAACCGGAGACTGGGCATTCGAATGCTTTACTACTCACCCATGCCCCCTTGGTCATGGTCACCTTTATTATTTCCAGCCATCTCCTCGAAACTCTCCGCATCAATCAACACCGAAAAATCGATCGTCTCACCCACACCAGCAACACCTCGCACGGACGACTACCCAACTTCAACATCACCACGAAAACTACTCACATTCATACTCCCACCACCACCCATACACTAGTTCATCACACCGCTATGTGCTGTCACTTCATAAGTCAATTCATCGCTCTCATTCGTATTCATCGTCTCCTGTACTGAGTCACTTGACATACTTCGCTGTTGGGGAATGTTGAGCCCAGCTGTTGAGTAGACACACTCGCGATTCTCAGATTCATGGTGTTTTTTTTGGAGGATTCGTGTGAATGTAAACCATAGAAGCCGTCGAATCATTGTGAGGCTCCAGTGGAAATCTACCAACTGGTGAAGCAGTCAGTGACGGGAGACTTAGCTGATGTAAACTTGAGTCAAACTACCTGCCGAACTATACTGACCACTCTCTACTAATACAGATGACCGGGTGAGTGGTTTCTTCTCTCTAAACTTTAGCTTAATGTAACCATTCCTTTCTCAGGCTAGCAACCCCACCCTGTAAACAAAATTGCTACAGAATCTTCAGCACGATGAACCTCTTTGCACCAAAAGAAAAAAGTGAGTATTATTGGGCAACTTAATCAAAGAAGTATAAAGTTTGAATATTTAGTCTTTTTCAGTTTATTGTAACGGACAGAGAGGAGAGGCATTTGTGTAATATTTGCATTTTGCAGAAGACAAACTTTGAAAGATAAATCGGAAGTTTTAGGATTCTTCAAGTTTATTATGGGATATATGGACTGTTCATACCGATTCTACTATTGTTCCCTCCCTTGTTCACATATTCATTGTTGCTAAGATTAGGAATCGTTCACCTGAGGTAAGATGAATTCACCTGATATGTATATATCCTTAGATATTTCTCAATGTGGCTGGAGGTGCTCAAAGGAATACAATCTCAATCTTTGCATGGAAAGATCATAACCAGTTTCTTCTGAAGGATCAGGTGGTGCCGAAAGCTGTAAAGACGGGTCCAGTGTCACAATCACCTGAGGGAAACTGATCCACATATTGTGGATAAAACGATTAGTGGACTTCAGTTTGACTATGATGTAGCCATAGAGAACTACAACTGCGATTTTTTCCACTGAATTGTCATAAACCCTTTTTAATGTGAATATGTACTGTTTAACTGTTGTTATTTTGTAAATATATGCATTTATGTCGACTACATGTATCTCTCTTAATTATCATTTTGAGGACATTGCATAGCTAACGAAGTTGATAGGCAACGTAGTAATACTTGTGTGAAATGCGTGATAATCGTAAACCGTTATTATTTCCTGAGTGAGTCACCAATCCTCAGATGGAATGTTTCAGTACCATCCAATCCGGCTGCGTAAAAGATTATCTTTCGTAAGGGTTTGCGAAAAAATATACGTTGAGCTTAGGTTTGTTTTGCGATTACTACGTATACATAATAACAAATGTAGGACGGCTACGTACATCGAAAATAACGTGTTATAGGCATATCCCATTAAAGGAAATTTTCCTAGTATTCTTATGTTGCACAAATTATCATTCTTTCAAATTAAATCATTACGCATTCCGAAACCGGCTACATCACTATTCCTTCGACAAGCAAAGGGAAGTAGTAGTGAATTTCGATAAAGTAAGGATGACGAAATTTGCAGTATTAAATGATATCATTCTATTTCACAGGTTCTCATCAGCTGCACACCACTACCTGAAATTACAATGGTTATATAGATGATAATAACATACTTTAATGTTCGAGTGGTGGTAGAAAAGAGATACTATAAAATTGACGCATCTAAATGAAAGCATTACAATGTTTTTAGTTTAAGTTTTCATCATCAATTTATACGCTTTTAAAGTTGAATAGAGGGGGAGGGGTAAGACAGAAAACATAAAAAAGTGATTAACAGAACAGTGTTAGCTTGTAGGTTCACATAGCAACTCAAGAAACAAAAACGGTTACAGTTTATGAGATTAAGATTTGTTCAGTGAGTTGAGATCACTGAATTAGATGACTAATCAAAATCAAAATTCTGTTACCAAGGTAGTGAGAGGTTAATCACACTCTCTTTCTGTATGCATAAGTCTGGTTTGAGTCTTTTGATTGCGATTGCTTCGGCAAATCGTAGTAAATTTGCTGTCCTTTGTCTATTTAATATTTTGAAGGACTTGAAAATCTCTACGAGATGTC